TTAATTGTATTTTAATTGTTGCATATCTTTGTTGTATTTTGGATGCTGTAAGCCGCCCAGAGACCTTTGGGTAGTGTGGGCGGCATATAAATTAAATAAATAAATAAAATAAAATAAATAAACTACATTTGATTATCCATAAATCTAGATATTTTCATTTAAAATGTTTAATATTTTCAGACTGGTTAACTGAATCAGAGGATATTGATCTAGTGGATATGGGAGTCCTACTGTGTTATCGGTGATCATAATCTGTGACTCTGGTTGTACAGTCTTAATGGTTTTTTGCATTAAACTTACTTTGTCTTTAAAACAGTTGTTTAGGTGTAGCTTAAGAATTTGTTTAGCATTCTCCCATGAGTATAGAAGGAATGCTTGCTTGGAGAATAAGGTTTGTGAAAGAGAACTGGCAAGGAATTTTCCTGTCCTTAGTTAGGTCTGCTTTACAGTCTCATTTGATCCCTGGAAAATTTCTTCAGTAATTTGCTCATCCTCCTGAACAAGGTAGAATGGAGCATAAATGTTTGATTGGAAAAGTGAGAAATGCCCCCAAATCAGGCAAATGGAGCTTGGGTGAAGAGGTCTGCATTTCTAGGAAAGGCCAACCCAGTTCCAAGACTTGGCTCATGATGAGAAGGAATCATCATCATCATATGCTGTCAAATCAATTTTGACTTATGGTGACCCTTTCCAGGGTTTTCCAGGTAGAGAACACTCAAAAGTAGTTTACCATTCCCTTCTTCTGGGGGCATCCTGGGACTGTGCAGCTTGCCCAAGGCTACACAGGCTGGCAGTCTCCACAGGAGGCACAGTGAGGAATCAAACTCCCAACCTCTGGCTCCATAGCCAGATACCTAACTCATTGAACTACCCAGCCAGGTCAGTGATGAGGAATATAAGTGTCTTAACTGAAGCCCGGGTGTTCTTGGACTGTGTCTACCAGAAAGCACAGCTGGTGGTGAAAGCTTCTTGGAATTTCAGTCTTAAGAATGCCTGGGTTACCCAAGGTTGGGAACCACTGTCTTAGAACACTATAAGTTGATTCTTAGTGTAGTCAACAACAAGTAAACTTTGTTTGAAATCCAAAGGATGTTGTAACTTTTGAGTAGGCTCGTTGAATCAATGGAATTTGCAGAGGAGTTGACTCATCAGATTCCCCACTCATTCAGTGAGCTTACTCTGGTTTGATTTCTACCTTTATTTATTGTTTGGGCCATCTGGATTTGAATTGAAAGAAAACTGTTCTTAGCAATCCAGTATGGTATTTCAAATGTAGTATTTCCACTGTGATTTCAGAAGTACACATGTAAAAGATATGAAGCATTGTTCTTAGCACAGGAACAAAAACCTTTATTTTTATAAAAAATGTTCCCATCAAAGTCTTATTGATCTTTATGTATTGAAAATGATATTTATATAATGGAATATGAAGTATCTGACTTTCCCTGACTAGAACTGTTTGTTGTAGGTGAAGGCACTGAAAGAGAAGATTGAATCAGAAAAAGGGAAAGATGCATTTCCAGTAGCTGGCCAAAAATTAATATATGCAGGTAATGATGTACATGTGAAAACTATTGTTTACATATCTTGTATTTATAAATACTTGTGGAAAGCTTTGTTGAACACTTGGTTTAGAAGAATTATACATGGGCTTGTCCCTGCTCTGTTCTACTGTTAGTGTTACAGATTTGTAGGTTTGTGACTAGACAACTTGCACACAATTTGTCTAGTATGAAAAACAGGAATGGTTTGTGTTGTGTACTAAGTATGTCATGCAATACAGAAAACACGCCCAAGTTTTCAGTTTTTGTATGTAGGCCTTATGTTTGCAATGAAAAGGTTGAAAATGAAGGGCAAACCTGCAGGCTTTTGGTAGCCTTGTTATTCAGTTACTTCTCAAAATGGCACACATGGACCATCTTGAAGACTTGTTTTGCATTTAAACATATTGCATCATTTTAAAAAACAGTGAACAGTATAAATAAAATATTTGCATCCCATCATAAAACAAAAATTAAAACACTAATTGGACCAGTGTTGTAGATGTTGTGGCTATTCAACCTCACTAGTGTTTTCTGAATGTAAATACTATGATAGGGGAATTTATTTCTAACTATATAATGGTTGTGTTACATACTGGGAAGCACCTGTATAGAAACACATGTGCTAGCTATACAAAATTATTTACTGAAGTAAATTCTGTTTTAGCACCAGAGTATGTGTAGTGCAGACAGCTGACACGTGTAACAAAATTAGCCAGCAAGTGCCATTTTGAAATCATATCTGTTTTCACAAAACTGGCTAAAATGCATGCTAATAATGCATGGTTCAGCCGATGGTTATGTTGGTTTTGTGTAATAGATCAGTTCAGTTAGGCAAGTCAATTAGAAATTGGGCTGCAAACCACCAGTGCACATGTTAGTGAAATACAGTAGGAGATGGAATTTAAGAATGGACAATTAGAGAGAAATCAATAATTAGTTGTAGTGTAAAATTGGATATCATACAGCATGTACCTTTGTAGTGTGCTCCTGTCTTTGCATGGGGATCCTAGTTGCTCCAGTAGCCCAGCAAATAGGAGTTTGTGTATAAGTACTTTTCTGGTGGTTGCAGGTAACTCTCCCATGCAAGCTTTCATGTGACTGTGATATGTTTTTTCATTTGCTACATTTAAACACTGCCGATCTAGTGGCAAGCCCCTTCTCTGGGCAATTTGCAATAGTTAAAACACCCCACCCACCCACCATAAATGAAGACAAACAAATAATAATAAGAGAAACCCCCAGAGGTGACAGTAGCATTTAGTATTTTCAACTCTGGTATCCTAGATCACAAGACATAATTATGGCTCTTTGGCAGATTTGAACCTGTAGATTTCTGGATAGAGTAAAAATATAATTTGCCATGTGTATGTAATAACATTAAATGCTAAGGAAAGCTAACATAATATAAAATGCTTGTCTAATTTCCCAGGTAAAATTCTTAATGATGATACTGCTCTTAAAGAATACAAAATCGATGAAAAGAACTTTGTGGTGGTTATGGTGACAAAAGTAAGTTACTGTTCACAATATTTACCCTGAGGTGTTCAAACTATAGTAATTTTTCCTTGCAGCTCTACCACAGCATATAAAATATTGAAACATACGCTGTAAGAAAATTTGGAGAAATTACTCTCAAAGCAGTGTATGCATGGAGCAACGATGATCCTCTTTCACATATATGAAGAAATAATCCCCTAAATTTGATTTGAATGTTTGACCTTGTAATTCTTGGAACCTTTCTATCTATAAATCTTTTGAAATGTGTCATTTAGAAATCATATATATTTTCATGGAATTGATTAAAAATGCATGCTGATGCATTATTTTGCCATTGCTGTAACATTCATAATTATCTGAAAGTCTATTAAGCATGATTTCACATGTACATATAGATGTCTTCCATTTTTCAGATGGAAGTGGTATGGGTGGACAGTTGATATAACTGTAAATAGCCTTTTTTGGGGGAGCAGATTCAATACATGTTATAACTGGTTGCATTATAAAATAGTATTCTGGTTTTTAAATTGTGGCACAGCATGTTGAAAAACTGCCATAAGGTCAAAAATAACGTGACAGAAATACAGCAGTTACTGCTCATACAGGTTCAATGTGCATAGATCTTGCTGTTTAATCAGCAACAAACCTTAATCATTCACCATCTAAGAAAGAAAATATCAAATAATTTTATAGATTGCAATGAGATAAACACTGGACTAGACTGTATTAACTCTTACCTGCCTGAACATCTGCATAGTCATCAGTTCAGCAAGTTAGGTAAATAAGGTTTTAATGAATTGGCTTTCAAACATCCTAATGTGAAAAGCCAAAAAACTTGGGGGGGATTATTATTAGGTTGCTCTTTGTCTATATAGAACTGTAGGCAAGATTTTCCTTTGCATCTTTTACATTTAGATGTATTAATCTCCACAAGTTTGTCCAGGAATAACTGTACAGTATTAAAGATTCTGAATCATGTGTAGAGATGGTCACATACCTCAATTCAGAGATTTGTGCTGGTTCCCTTCCCCTACCTCCCCAGCAGGAACCAACACATGCTCCTCTCCTCCTGTTCTTCATTTGTTTGACCAGTCTCCAGCAGGAGCATGGGCTTCCCTTCCCTCCCTCCTTGGCTGATTGTCTACTCAGACGAGACAGGACAGGGAAACCCATGCTCCTGCTGCAGCCTGGTAGAACAACCAAAGAGGAGGCAGAGAAGAGTGTGTTCTGACTGGTGAATGGGTCATTGGCTGGAGAGATGGGGAAAGGGAATGCATAGCATCTGTGGTGCCATGCATGCAAACCTCCGAATTGATTTCATGCCCATATCCATCTTCTTCACATGCACCCATTTAATACATGATCCCGGTTAGATCTCTTGACCCTGGCTATCTCTATGTATGGGGTTGGGAGTTTGCTGTGAAATGCATCCTGCATGCATTCAGCAGCATGATGTAGTGCAGGTTTGAGAGTGGTGGACAAGTTGCCTTTCAGGGAAGCTTATTTGCCACCATTGATTCTTCACATTGAGAACTTGATAAACATGCAGGAAGACAGAGAGGTTGTATTATCAACAGTCCTACTTTGATGGTGATAAACATGCAGGAAGACAGAGAGGTCTGCTTTATGCAGTCTGAAATGATGGTTGTATTATCAACAGTCCTACTTTGATGTGGCTTATATTACTTTATTCTAGAATTAACTGTATGCAAGGCTGCTTTAAACATGTTGGAAGGAAGACTGTCAAACCTGTAGTGATAACAAGTATGTTCATGATAGGGTGAAACTTTTTTAGGTATATTGTAGAAGTCATCTTCATATTATATTCACTAAGTTTAAGTAATCTATAGGCTCAACTTCCTACAGGGGGAAATGACATACATGGAATGGGTTGTCCCTTCTATTCTCCTTGATAGATATGAGCTGATAAAGTGACTTATTTGAGCTGCTGGTTCCCTCTAGTGGTGAGGACAATCCAGGGCTCCAATTCATTTCTTATCTCCCTTTTGACAAGAAACTTGTTCCTTGTTCCTTCACTCACTTCTCTCCTTTGCCTATTGAAAGAAAAAAAAACTTCAGCTTTTGTTCTTCTTTCCTTTTATCAGTTCATTCCTTCTGCATGGCTCCTGTATCCTGTCTGCTAGTACATCATACCAGGAAGATAGCCTGGTTTTTTCAGTGGATTCACTGACCACATGAGGCATTTAGCAGTTGAATCCAAGGTGGAGTTTTGGTCTGCTGCCAAGGGAGAATGGGAGCAGTTTCAAGGGGGAATGGGAGAAGTGGAGAAAGTATGCTGCCTCTAGAGCAGCCATTGTCAACAGGAACCTTATGGCCCCCTTGGGGGGGGGCAGGCAAATTTGAAGGGTGTCACTGACAGGAAACAGTTCTTCACATACCTCCTTATACACATACTGCCTATATTTCTTTCACATTGTATTTATCACCCTCCCCCCCAGAAAGGCTGAGGATCGCTGCTCTAGAGCCTGCTCTCTTTAGGTCAGGAGGTTTTATGATCTGCCAGATCTGGTCTCTTAATCGATTGCAAGTACTGCTGGTGGATAACCCATCATAGCTCTGGTCTATTCTGCTTGCACTACAGATGGATCATATGCTCTACAAAAGTAGGATGGCAGAAAGGTTGATTTGGCCCTTTAAAAGTTTATTGAATCTCTTTCCACTGCCATTAAATCTTCCACAGGAGCTGGTGTCATGGTGAAGGCGGCATTCTTTCAATCTCAGCCTCAAAGTGAGGCTGAGATAGATCTTGAACAAGGATCTGAGTGTTTCTCAGGGATCTGATGCCAGCCTACATGCCATCCAGTTTAGTGCTAGATTACAGATGGCTGCTGTTCCAGTCTATAGATACATAAAGCTCAAACACTTGCAGGTGGATGCCAGGGTAGAGGATAAGCTTTGCTCCCTTTGGGGTTTCGAAACTGTCTGATGAATCTTACAGAGTCAGCTATGAAAGATAAACAGAGGGCATTTCTGTGCCTTCAAAGGCCCAAGACAAAAAGTGTGTTCCTTTTGTAGCTCAATACATCAATTTAAACTAAGGGACTTTAGAGGAGTTAAAGCCCAGTAAGTGAGCATGGACAGTCTAGGTGACTTGCTCAGGGTTGCCTAAAATCTCCAGTCACAGAACAGTCAAAACAGAAGTTAGGCTGATGCCAGGCCTCTACTTTCCAGAACCTGGATATAGTCCACCATAGACAAATGGGTGTTGAGCACAGTCATGGAGAGATGCAAAATATAGTTCACAAGGTAATCTCCTCCTCCTCCTCACTTTGTTCCCTACTCAATTGTTCAGTAACAAGGATTACTCAAAGCAAGTTGTCTCAATAATGTTAGCATCCTGTAGGGAATCCACCAATAAGATCTGTGTATGTCCTTGAGAGCCTTCCATCACTGTTACACTAGAAGGAGGTGACAGGCATGGAGAACCTTGGTTTCTGATATTTTGGATTTTCTGCAGAAAAGCATGGAAAAGGCTATCACTACCAGTATTTTAAAGAGTCATGTAGTATTGTCACTAGGGTGCTCTGTTGGAAATTTTACCATTGAGCAAGGCCTTGCCCTTGTGCATACAGAAGGCATCAACAGGTTTCTTTGAAAAGTTTTTCTAAGCTTTTCTCTGCCTGATGTAGGTTCCCTTTCTGAGACCTCCATACCATCTTCAAAGCTCTTACCGGGGTACTTTCTGAAACTCTTAAAACACTTGTCCTGGAAGGTACTTTTCAGGACTGCAGTTACATCTGCTAAAAAGTTTTACAAACTTGGTGCTGTTTGAGCCAGATCAGAGTTCTGTGTACTTCAGAGTCAGTGGTCCACATCTGGATCTCTTGTTTGTACCGAAAGTCATTTCCACCTTTCATCAGGCTCAGGAGGTTATCTTCCCTTCCTTTTCTTCCAAGCCCCTGTAAGGGAGTTGTTATCGGTGCCTCTGGCAAGGTATTTGCCTTAGTCCTACACCTCCCCTGAAAGATTGGGTGGAGAAGCTGCTCTGAGGACTGAAGGAGACAAGGAGGAGGGAAGTGCAGGTGTCTACAGGGAGGAAGGTGATGAGTGGCAAGAGGTGGGTGCATAAGGAGGATTAAAGGAGAGCAAAGAGGAAGGCTGGAGTCCTTCAGGATCTGGGACACCCGACAAGGTGTAGGCAGAAAAGGAAGAGACGTAGGGGTCAGAATCAGAGGAGCTGACCCCATCCTGTGTGTTGTGGCAGAGCTGACCTGGGAGACAAAGGACAATCTTTGGCAGGTGTCCTCAGGCACTTTCCCAGTGTTCAGAGGTAGATGCTGGGGACGAGGGATTTTATCCATTCCAGTTTCAGAGCCCAGTGTGCCAGTGTTGAGAGTCAGGCATCAGGGAAGAGGGTTGGCACATACTAGCTGTGGGTCTGATGGCAATTTTTCTTTTGTATGTATTTTAATTGTTCTAAATTGTATTGTATTTTAATTGTTGTAAGCCGCCCAGAGACCATTGGGTAGTGTGGGCGGCATATAAATTAATTAAATAAATAAATATGCCAGCACCAGAGCAGACTTCTGCCTGCAGCTCCCTAGCACTCAGGTTGGCCAGATGGACCTGAGGCACTCACCCATATGAAGCTGAAGTGCTGGCAGCACAAGCAACACCAAGAGAGAAGGAATAAAAAAATTGAGAGGACAGCTGTCGCTTAAAGCCATCTGCCTCTACTGACCATCATTAAAAGGCTCCAAACCCAATCCCAGGAATTGTCCTTTGTCTCCCAGGTCAGGTGATCTCAGTGATGGGAAAGGAGGCCAGTACTGGACAGCTGCCAAGGGACAACTGCTAAGAACTGAGTTCCCTGGAATCCAGGAGGACAGTGACTGGGAGCCAATTGAATTATTGGCAGAAGACCACACCCCTGGCCACTGGTTCAGCTGGAGGTGGCAGCACTCGCAGTCCCACATACCTTTAGAAAAAGAGTGGCCATGGATGTCCAGAGAGCCATAAAGATTTCCCTGAATTTTGCCTGAAGGTGCTTTAGGTTTTTTGATTCTCTGTTGATTCCAAGCGGTATATCTGTGCACTCAAAGTATGGCCTCTTCAGCAGCCTGTGGTACTCGGGCTCCTGTCTTGGATGTTTGTAGGACCACCACCATTTGTGAGGCATTATGGGCTGGACTATATTTTGTCTGCAGAGGCATTATTGAGGCACAGAACCCTCCAGCAGGTGGTTCCCCATTGGGGAGTAGCTTAGGCAATAGACATGGATCTTGGCCAGTGGTGCTTGAGACCCACTCAGGGATTGTAAATCCCATTGCAAAGGTTACATTGGTACTTACCATGAGACAGGTGTTTGATACTTGGTGGGTGTGGGTGGAGACATCCTTTCCTATCCTTGACAGTACTAGATGCTGTTGGGGTTCTTTGGATTGAGTTGGGCCATAGGGAGAAGTAGTGGCTGTCCTTCTACCACAACATTCTCTATTTATTCTGTGTTCTTCTCATTCAATATCAAGTCGAGGCTTGGAGACAAGTTCTGAAGCCCTGGATTGTCCTCACTGCTAGAGGGGGGCAGCAGCTAAAAATGGCTGGTTGTCATTTCCTGCCTATCAGGGTGAGTGGAAGGAGCAACCCCTTGCAAGGATTTCTTTCTTTGTATAAAAGAATTGTTTCATGGTGAGTACTAATGTTACTTTTTCCATGGTAGTGAAGACCTTTCATTTAAATTTGCTACAACCCTACTCAAGAATGGTACTACCCAACAGAAGTAATTCAGAGGAATTTAAAGCAGCATATGTGTGCTGGATGTCTTCCCTATGAGCCCTGAGTTGTGTGAAAAGAGGTGATTGTTACTATTAACTAGGGCAGTTATAATACTATAACTTTAAAAGTAAAAGACTGTTTGAATATTTCAGTTACTTAGACCTCTTCCTCTTTGTAGCCCAAAACAGCAGCTGCTCCATCTCCATCCCCAACTACAACTCAGCAGTCAAATGATACTACCACTACTGTTAGTTCTTCTACAGTAACTGCTGCAGCTCCAAAACCAGCACCCGTTCCAGCACCTGTTCCAGTTTCAACACCTGCACCAGCTGCTCCCACACCAGCTGTAGTGGCTAGTGAACCTGCACCTGTAAGTGCCACTATAGAAGAGAAATCTGCAGATAAGCCAGAAGAGACACCAGTTGCCACCAGCCCATCCTCTACAGACAGGTATGAGCAGATAGTTGGGGACTAAAGTCTTCCTGCTTCTGATGACTAAATTTACCTTTTGGTTTTGTCAGAGGACCCAGACTTTCAGTATGCAAAAACAGAAATTACGTTACTTCCCTGTTGCATATAAAGACTCTCTGTATAATTTTGTTAAAACAAAAAGATAATGTAAAAATGCCCAGCGTGGGCACCAAGAATGCCTCTAAGACGCGTGAACTTCCCCGCCCTCTGCACAGCAGCCCCTTTGATTCTAGTTGTGATGAACTCGCTGTGTGTGCTGGGGGAGAAGTTGTGCGAAAGAGAGGTGGAGCCCCATCCAGCAGGGCTGAAAATTTGGGCACATTCTAGTGTTCAATTCGTATAATGTGATGTTGTAGTTACAGAGTCTATTGGTTCTTTTTGAGCGTTAATTATTGGCAACTTGCAACTCTTCAAAGTGTTGAGCATGTTCTGAAATAATTTAACACACTGCTGTCACTTTTCTAGTACCAACCAATAGTCATTTTTGCCATCTATTTCTTAGCCAGTCACCTTTTATTAAATAGTTTACTAGAATGCAATTTAAGCCAGTAAATGTATATATTTGTGAGTTATTTTTTGTTTAAACGCTCTCAGAATCCTTCAGCCAACATGGCTACTGGCTGTACTAGCTGGGAGATTCAGAGAGTTGTAATCCAGACAAAACAAATGATTAAAAAACCTTTTAAACTCTAATCAGAAGTCAGTAGACAAATAAATGCATTATTTGTATCCTAAATGTGTAATTTGTGTCAATGAGTCTTATTCTTAAAACAGTGATTGAATTCTTGTTGTAAGCAACTGAACCAGAGCTGAGGATTTTTGATAGTTTAATATGTATCTCCCATGGATTCCCTGGATGTTTGGACTGTCCTCTTTATATTTTTAGTACATTGTTTAGCAGTTGTTTTATGAGGAATTTTTTAATAGTAATGCCATTTGTAACTCTAAAAGAACACAAAAATCTGTAAGATGGGTACATCTGCTGACTGTTTTTGTTTTGTAACAGCACAACAGGTGATATATCACGATCAAATCTCTTTGAAGATGCTACAAGTGCACTTGGTATGTATTTTCTGATATCAGCTTAAATAGGTTTTATTGTGAAAGTCAAGAAGATGCATGTTTCTGTTTGTCTTCTGACACTAGTGTCATCATTCAATAAGCATAACTCTTTAAAATATTGCTTTTAACAAGTGTTCTCTTTACTATGGCAACAGTTTAAGGTAACTGTCAAAGCTTCTAGCAAGCTTTGCTTATACATTTTCTTGGTTTCTCCAGTCTGCCTTTGAATTGCGATTGGAGGATAGTGTTAAAGAATCTTTCATACTTCATGAGCAGTTTATATTATTTGGAGTAAATTGCTCATAGAGGGCAGAACAGTCTCCTTGAATTTCAGATCAGTTCATGTCATGCCCTACCTATTGAACTCTATTGAATCTCAGCAGTCAAAACCTCCGTTCTTCAAGACTAGTTGTCTTGCAGGAGTTTATGAAAGTCTTGTTGGCTTTCCTTCCTCAAACTTTAATATATGCCATTTCTCTGAATGTTATTATCAGAGAAAAAGTTTACTTAATTTTTAGAACACGGATCACTTATAAAAATTAGAGGAAGAAATACAAGTAATTGTGCAGATGATACCAAATTAGTAGCAGAAAATAACAGTGATTTCAGACAAATTCTAAGCGTGCTTAAAGAAAGTGCAAAAGCAGAATTACAGTTGAACATTTAAGAAGAGAAAATAATGACTACCATATAAACATAGTTGTTGACAATGGAGAAATTGAAATAGTTAAAAAAAAATTATATCTCAGCTGAATCATTAGTCCAAATGGAGACTCTAGCCAAGAAGTCAGAACAGCGAGATTTGGAAAGGCAGCTATGAAACAACTAGAAAAGATACTCAAGTGTAAGGATGTTCTGCTAAAGGCTAGGACCATCCATACTGAGACATTGTTTCACGTGATTGTGAAACTAGGGCAGTGAAGAAAGCAGACCAGGGGGGGAAAATCACCTCATTCAAAATGTAATGTTGGAGGAGAGCAACTTTTACTCACTAAAATAACTAAACTGGGACTATTGTGTTTTGGGTATACTGTAGTAAGATTTCCTGGAAATTATAGAAAAGTGAAAATCAGAACACGTCTTGAGTTATACAATAAAGGAAGCCATGGCTTTTAATTTGCAGGAACTGAGCAAAGCTGTTAATGCAAGGACTTTTTCGAAGTCAATAATTCCTGAGGTCTTCATACATCAGAAGCAGCTTAATGGCACATAATATGTGCCACTTCATTTACTGCAGGCTTCATTGTTGAGTAATAATGAAACTTTCCTTACTGATGGGTTTAGTACAGTGGTGCCTCGCTTGACGATGTTAATTCGTTCCAGCGAAATCGCTGTAGAACAAAAACATTGTCAAACGAAAATTTAAAAACCATTGGAACGCATTAAAACCCAGTTAATGCGTTCCAATTGGCTGAATACCTGCTCGTCCAGCGAAGATCCTCCATACGGCAGCCATTTTTTGTGCCTGTAAAGCGAGGAATCCATCCTAGGAAACAGCAGGGGGGGCATTTTCTTCAGCCGAAGGTCATTTTGAAACCCGACGATCAGCTGTTTGCTGATCGTTGTAAAGCGAAAATCGGTTCCTGAAGCAGGGAACCAATAATCGCTAAGCGAAATTCCCCCATTTAAAATATTGTTTTGCAATCGCAAAAACCTCATTGTAAAGCGATTTCTTCATTAAGCGAGGCAATCGTTAAGCGGGGCACGACTGTATTTAGAATAAACAGCTGTGACATCTCAGCAACCTGTTTATTTACTACACTAGAAGCACAGTAATTTTATTGTTAATGGCCAAAATCCTATTTGTGTTCCAATAAGGTTTTGGATATCATGTTGCCACTAATTGACAAGGTGCTAGATGTGTCTTGCTTGTGTGTGTGGTCATATGCTTGATTACTCAGGTGAGATGTCCCTTGGCACCTTGTCAATTAGCTGCAGCGAGTTATGCATACCTAATACGAACACCAATAAGATTTTGATGTGTGTTGTCTTTTTAATGTATTATACACTGCGTAAAACATTAGTTATTGGTCAGCAGAAAAGTGAACTGAATAAATCATTTGCTTCCTTTATGTCCAGAGTTGAAATTCAGCTCTGGTACCTCTTTCATTCATTTAGATAATGGTTTTTTGGCTTGTGCCAGGCAGGCAATTGCCTTCAGAATAACACTTAATACAACGTGTACTCTCTGAAAACAAAAATATTGCAAGGAATTACCTGCCATTGCTGCTTGTTACACAGTAATTATAGTTTTGTATGTCAGGGTCACTTTCTAGGTTTAATTGATGTTCTTATTCAGCATCAAATGCAAATAATCCTGGGTCGCTACTGAATTTACCTACCAAATAGAGTTCAGTGTTTTGTCCTTGATAAGTCATTTTCTTAACAATGCTGGCTTGGACCAGGGGGGCATCTAGTTCAGCATCCTACTTTGAACAGTTCCACCCAGAGGCTGCTGGCAAATGCAGAAGCAGGCTTAAAGGGAAAAAAAATCTCCTTGCTGTTGTTTGGCACTTAGCCAATGGTAGTTAGTGTCATATTCCCTCTGAATCTGGAGATTTCATGTATCGATTGTAGTCAAGGTCTTCCATAGTTTCTGTCAAGTAGCTCCACTGCTGGTCATGCTGCAGATTATTCGAGCAGGTGGGTACATTAGTTATGATTATCATCTTACTTCCTAAAATTATATTAATGACTTACAAATTCACCATAGTTATCAATTTAGAATTTAGCTGTGTAGAGATCAAAATAGCTAGAGCAGCCTGTGAACAATTTCTTGCTTAGGTTCTATGATAAGGAAAAGGATTTAATGGTTGTTGTGGGTATTTCGGGCTCTTTGGCCATGTTCTGAAGGTTGTTCTTCCTAACGTTTCGCCAGTTTCTGTGGCCGGCATCTTCAGAGGACAGGAGTCAAAACTCTGTGCTCTGGTTCTGTTTGTTTGGGAGTTGAGTATTTATAGCTGTGAGATAAGCTTTGTCCTTTTCATTAGATGGGTGATTATGGTGATCAGTGTGTTTTTGTTGTGGATGCATTGTTGTGATAAGGGGGAGAGATGATCTGTCACTGTGATTGATGGGTGTTGTTAGCTGGTATTTTGTGTGTAGTGATCACCGGTCCTTGTGGCTGGTGTTCATTGACCTTTTTTTCAGTGCTGGGAACCAAGCTTTGTTAAGTTTTAAACTTTCTTCTTTTTTGTTGAAGCTCTCCTAGTGTTTGTGGATTTCAGTGGCTTCCCTCTGCAGTCTGATGTAATGATTGCTAGTGTTGTCCAGTATTTCAGTATTTTGAAATAGAATTTCATGTCCAGCTTGTTTTAGGGCATGTTCAGCTACTGCCAATTTTTCTGGTTGTTTTAGTCTGCAGTGTCTCTCATGTTCTTTGATTCTGGTGAGGATGCTTTGTTTTGTGGTTCCAATGTATATCTGGTCACAACTGCAAGGTATCCGATATACTCCTGCAGTGGTGAGGGGGTCCCTTCTGTCCTTTGCTGACCATATCATTTGTTGTATTTTTGTGGTGGGCTTGAATACTGTTTGTAGTTTGTGTTTTTTCAAAAGTTTCGCCATGCGGTCCGTGATTCCTTTGATGTGTGGCAGAAATACTTTATTTGTGAGTGGCTGTTTTTCTTCTTCAGTTTGGTGTTTTTGTCTTGGTTTGATGGCTCTTGTGATTTCATTTTTGGAGTAGCCATTTGCCTGTAGGGCCCAATTGAGATGGTTGAGTTCGGTGCTGAGAAATTGAGCTTCATAGTTCTGATTTGCACGGTCTACCAGTGTTTTGATTATGCCTCTTTTTTGCTGTGGGTGATGGTTGGAGTTTTTGTGTAGGTACCGGTCTGTGTGAGTGGGTTTTCTGTAGACCTTGTGTTTCAATAGGTCAGCTTTGCCTACTACCCTGTCATCTAAGAACGGGAGTTGGCCCTTGTGGCAATCAAACTTGTTGCCCCTTTTTATTTCACCCTCACAAAGGCTCACACCCTTTTTCTCTTCTCGCTGCCATTAGGTATTCTCCTAATACCAATCATGTTATACATGTGTGCTGTCAAACTTAAGGGTTATAGTGACAGGGGGCAAGAATGAGGTTCTGATATAACATATACGAAGTACTGGCTTTACAATTTAAGACAATACATGCTATTTGATTCACATGTACTTAATATTTATAATCAGTATTTTACACAAGTAATCATACCTTGTACCTGTAATTGAAATATGAGTCCTTACTATTTCCTTACTATAATGATATTCTATATGCATTTTGTATCTTTATTTATTTATTTATTTATTTATTTGATTTTTACGCCGCCCCTCTAGACCATGTCTAGAGGGTATCACCTGGCAGGACAAAGTTCCAAATAGAGTAGTCCTAGAACGAGCTGGAATGTTTAGCATGTATACATTACTGAAACAGTGCTGTCTACACTGGCTTGGGCATGTCGTGAGAATGGCTGATGGTTGGATTCCAAAGGATCTCCTGCACAGAGAATTAGTGCAGGGAAATCACCCCAGAGGGAGACCACACAGCTGTGATACAAGGACATCTGCAAGCGAGACCTGAAGGCCTTAGGAATGGATCTCAACAGATGGGAAAACCTGACATCTTAGCGTTCAGCCTGGAGGCAGGCAGTGCATCATCACCTCTCCCAATTTGAAGAGACCCTTGTCCAGCAGGCC